GGAAGCAAAATTTTCACGGCCTTGAGAAAAATGGACATGTTCAACGGAAGATATATTCACGGTGGTGACAGTAGCAGGAAAAAGAAGTCCAGGAATTATTTCCTAACTGTAATGATAAGTTCACAATACAGAGGTGACAGTGAAAACCGTGAACATTGACCCCCCGCTTGCGTTGCGGTACAGTGAAAAAAAATCGGAAATTACAGCAATCAATTTACTGAGTATGTTTGCTTAGTTTCCAGATGTTTTGTACTTGTAGTTTTTAAATGAACGAAAACCGATGCGCGCACAGATGTTACTTTTGTGACAACATCAAAGTGATTTTGGTTTGTATGTTGAAAAATACAAAAGACTAACATTCGAAGTTATTGAAATTCTTGAGTAAGAACAATCAGTTTTGGAATGTTAAAAGCAAAGCAATGGATATTAAAACGAAAATGTTAAAATTAAATGTTGAAATTGTTAAAATGTAAAATGGTTAAAATGGTTAAAATTGTTGAAATTGTTAAAAACGTTAAAATTGTTAAAAATTGTAAAAAGGATAATTAAAAATATCCAGTGTACCGGGGTTCGAAGTCGTAATGTCTGGACTTGCAGCACTGCGCGTTACCAACCGAGCTATCTGGACACGTTTCCATTACTCTCTGCATTGTATGTCATATAAAGTGAACAACATGGCGGTAACGATCGCTTCAAGTACTAGTAAGGGACTTTCTAGGAGATACACTCTACAATTTTGGTGATTCTTCATAATAATACTAGTCGGTGAAGATTGTGGAAAATTGTTGATACCGTGGCGCGCGCGCGTGCGCCGACAATACACATTACGTACCGTTGTTTACAGTACTCGCGGGGCGCAGGTCATTGACCTCCTGCTTGCGTTGTTCCAACAGAGAAGAGCAAAATATCTGCCAGTTTTTGCGTCAGATTTTCAGTGTTTGTTAAAATCATATACAGGCATCCATGCAGCTATAATTCTTCCAACTAGTTCGTAGTTAGGTGAAATGTTTATAGGAATCACACGAATCGGTATCCAGTATCAGAGTATCATGGCCCACGGCCGAGACCGCGTGGACCAGCTGCGCTGGTACGTGAAAATGGTAGTAAATAAATTAATTAGCCAACAGCCAATCAACAGCCACATCTGCAAACATGACCACACCTGCTTGTATGCCCATATTTGGGCCTTCCCCCGAATTCCTTTCTTATTACGTCACGCGCGTACGCCCCCACAGTACTTTCCTATGGGGACCACTAAAAAGCAAATAAAACGATTGTAAAAGCTTGTATACAAAAAATTTAAAAAACGCCTAAGGGTATTTACCCACTCTACCTCTATACGAAATTACAGGTAATTTCGCCCAAAAATGAAGGAGTTGAATCAATTTAAAGAAGTGGCAGGAGGAGGAGGAGAAGGAGGAGGAGAAGAAACATCAGAAAAAGCAATATGGGTTCACCACCACTTCGTGGTGTGGTGAACCCATAATGACACCATAAAACGTAAGACTTGGCCCCTCCGTTGTGGCACAGGTTGTCTATTTGAAGGCGGTCATGTAGAAACTTGTTTTGGTCGTTGTCACGTCATTAGGAAGACAGCCCTTTTATCGTCTATTTTTGTCCACTTATGGCTTGTCCTGGTAATGTTCAGGTGGTGTATGGTCACTTGGTGGATGGACAACGGTTCACGCCACGTACTGCGTTCAACTCGTCCAGTTTCTTCTTCTCCCTGGACAGCTTACTGATGAGCTCATCGTTGACGGCAACTTCTTCTATCATGGCTCGCAGCTTGTCTTCAACCTACAGTACACACAAACAACGGGGACAGGGTGTGGGTTGGATAGCAAGACTAAACAAAATAATAAAAAAAAGAAATTAAAGACTTATACAAACGTGACTTAACCGAAACCAAAAAGAGCCAAGCATAAGAAGAAGAAATCAAGACGGGCTAAGCAAAAATGTCCTTTTTAAACATTCGTTTCCAGCGAGAGAATATATGAGTGTAAGTGTCAGAGTGAGTTTACCTCCTGTTTTTCCTTCTCCCGTTTGCTGAGTTTGAGTGTGATTCCCTCAATCTCCTTCTGTAGCTCCTCGGCCTCCATCTCAGCCTTGATTTTCTTGGACTCAAGATGTCTGGGAACAGAAAGACCCACCAGAAGATATCTTAGATTCTATGGGTAACTTTTATGTTTGGTGTTCGTCGAACATGATAGTCATTTAAAACGGTCGATACCATATGACGGCATATGACAGAACGGCATACATTTAAGTATATTATCTTGCCCTTCAACACCGTGATGTTTCGTCATGGGATTTAACGTTAGGGTTTTGGGATTAAGCTTTTTTGACCCTGGTTCGAATCCTTAGTCCTAGCTTATGCCCCTTCTTTTTTCATCAATATCCACTATTTTTCACGATGCTTTCACACATTTGCAACTGTAATGTTGCTTTTTATACATTTTGTACGTTTTTGACCCTCAAATTTTTTTATTACCTGTTTTGGTCGGCAACATCCTCCAGACGTTCCTCCACCTCCTGCGCCTGCGCGTCAAGTTCTGCCTTTTCTTTCAGGAGGTTCCCGACATGCTCTTCGGCGTTCTGCATCACGGCTTGTTCCTGACAGATGACATGTTGTGTTTTTCAAATTTCTTTAAACTTATTTCACGATCCAACATAATAGTCCATGGACAAGAACCCAAAATCTTACGTATTTATTTGTACCACCTGAGCTTGCAAGCCTTACGGTTTTTGAAAAGCAGGGTATCAGTGTAACATATTTTGACATGGTATTATATAATACTCTTGCTATAGTTATACCAGCAACGTTCATTAACATAAATGTTGAAACAGAAAATGTAGTGATTCAAAAGGAAAGGTATCTACATCTAGAAAGTTATCAATGATATATTCTAATATCAACAGACGTAATCCTTGAAGACAAAGCTGTACCGTTTCCAGGCGATTTTTGATGTCCTTCGTTTCAGCCTCAAGGTCGTTGAGTTTCTGCTGCAGGGCCTTTCTCTGGCTCACTGTCTTCTCGTACTTCTTCTCCTCTACCGCGAGTTGGACAGTTGTCTCCTTCAGATACTGCACATTTCAAACAAATGATGTGTAGCAAATTGTAACACAGCTTATTAGACATTACTTCTCAGGAGTGACGTACTTTACCCAGGGTTCGAAATACTGGGTGTATATGTGCAGGTAAAATTGGAGCCGTGCATGTATTGCTGATGTCTACATGCACCTAACCTGCACGTACCTGTATACGCAATGCGTTTATATACAAATGTAGGTGTATTTGGATTTTTATTTGCTGCATCGACAGATAAACATGAAAACGATATCGTTCCAAAACAAACACTGCACAAAATCATATCCTTAAGCACATTTAAAGCATGCGTTAAGGCACAGATAAAAGTAGAAACGGAGCCTTTACACATTGTTTTAAGTGTGCGTAAAGAAGAGATTTTATGTAGTAAAAGTTAGCCTGACCTCCTCAGCCTTGCTGCCGGTGAGTTGCGGCTTGAGTAGTTGATACAGGATGATCCACCAGTCTGTCTTCAGGCGGAACCACGCCTTGATGTTATTCTTCAGGATCCGAGTCGCATGTCTGGAAAAGTGAAACGATCTCGTACTAAATAGTAATTCGCAGTAATAATTTTATCAGGTTGCCCATACTTGAGTACTCTTGCTGTATTCAAGACCTACTACCTAATATAAACTGTTCTTGGCTGTCAATTAGCAGTAGATCAACTCTAAATTACAATTGACCAAATCAGTGTATGTCTCCAATCCATCGTCGTTTGTCTCTTACTAAGTCTGTAAGATATTTTACTACGTCAGACTCGAGTCTGATGACTTACAAGATACAGTTAACAGTCGTCGACAAGGCTGCTGAGGAGACTTTCATGTGGTTTTCATCGTTGTCTGGGTTTAAGGTTTTTACTGAATGCGACACTGAGGACCTACTTCCATATACTGCACAAACACAAGTATATCATCACCGAAACGTGGAAGACAAGTTTGGAATCCCGCCGTACTTACTTAGCCTTGTACATGTTCCAGAACTTCCTCTTCTGTTCCATGCCCCTGGCCCGGGACTGCATCCACGTGATGATCTTATTAATCTGGTCATCCCGCAGTTCCTCCAGCATGGCCAGCGTCCCGGCTTTGAAGAACACCTGTCATGTGGACAGTGTGTACAGACGTGCTGTATCATTATTACGCAACCACTATCATAACATCTTTTGAAATCTTTCTTGCTAATACCACATTTCAGGCTTAGGGAGTCTGAGAAAATAGAATACTAGAACCCTTACGTAGCTTTACCTTGTTGAGTCCAATCTGGTATCTCTTGGTGTCCAATTTGATGTGCTCCAGGATCTGTTTGCAAGCCTCCTTCCCCTGTATGAATTTCCGGTCAGCGAAGATATGAGGTGCCAGAACGGAGTACCTGATCATGAAAAGGTGCACATGCAATGTTTTGAACACGTGAGTCAAGGATAGCGTTTTTCACTATGAGATGTTGACTGCTAGCTGTAACACATAGGTATGATGGTGAGAAGGATAGAATGGTAATTCTGCTGCAGCACTTTAGCAATCCAAAAGAGGGCACACATACGAACTTACCCTTCAGTGTACTGACACCTACCCAACCTACCACATACCATAGGTACCAATTCACTACATCACAAGTTACGGTGTCTTCAAAGAAACCCACCCACATACAAACGACACATAAAGTATATCCCACTTGTCGAAGGTAGTGTTTTAGGTACATGTACTTTATTTCCTCCTTTAGCAAACATACAAGTACTGACAGACAAGTATGTAGCTAGTCTTCCTGTAGTTAGACAAATTAGGAAAAAGCTGCAGGTCTTACCTTTCCAAGAAGTCTGAGTAGAGGTTCCTGTTGGGGAATCCCTTCTGACAGATCCGGATCCCCTCCAGAACGCCGTTACACGTCAGCTGGTTGTACACCAGCGGGCCGTCTATGATCCCGCCTGTCTTGATCTCGTTAGGGATGATACAGCGGACAAAGTGCGGGTACGTCTCGTGTAGGGTGTTCATCAGCTCAAACAGTTGGCCCTGCGGTTAAATAATAGTTACAACGAAGATCTGTACAATAGCCAAGTGTAGAGTGTTAGCTTTGTATTCGGAAGGTCGTCGTTTGTTCGATCACCGGCCTAGTCATATCAAAGACTATAAAAATGGCACATACTGTTTTTCCTGCTTAGCACTCAGCATTTGTGTAAAAGTATCTAGTATATGGTCACACTGAGGTGGGACAAATCTACAATGACTAGGTTTCCTACCCTGTGCAGGGCCGATACGGTCTGGAACGACCCACCCTTCTTCCTCTTCCCGCCGCCTGCACCGGCTGCCATCATGGGGTCTTTCTTTATCGCTGTTGTAAGCAAAAACCAATACCACAAAATTAGCTATCCCGTTTTACCTTATAAAGGCAAAAGGCAACTTCCATTGCCATTTTACAAAACGGTAGCTCTTTTGTAATACGCCAGGTGGCGCTGTCGAGAGAGGATGCTAAACACGTATGAACGTTAGAGGTCTAAAAGGACATTGCTACTGACTTGATGCCTCCTCCTGGGTGATGTAGTCCGCCCAGATGACCGGCAGTAGCGGGATTTTGGACGCCTTGAGAACGAGCACGGCGCTCTCGTTCACAGGGTCCTTGTTCTTCTCCAGCCAACCGTCCACGTTATAACTCACAGGTCCGGCGTAGTGACCCAGGTCAAAGTGAGCAGGGTACTTCTTCTTGGTCGCTTTTGGCTTGCCAAACTTGGGGTTCTTCCCCAGGTGTTGTGTCATCAGCTTGTTCAGGTAGGTTTTGTCCGTGGCTTTAGGCACGATGCACTCCTCCTCCAACATGGACAGAACGCCGAGAGGCTGGGTGGAAAAGAGAACATACTGGTTTGAACAATCTCAGTACATGTATTAAAAGCCGTGATGATTACTCCAATAACTACCAAGCAACCGAGCGACCACTCTCCCTCTTAAAAGATGCTAAGAACGGAGGATGTCATTGAAACATAAAAAAACGTAACACACATTCAGGACCTTCCCCAATGTCGGCTGAAGTTCGGGAGCAGTTTGGTCAAATTTAGGCCTTTGTACCTTTCTATACAAATAGAAACGAATTTGAGTTAAATCTGAGTCCAATTTGACACCCGAACACGCCCAAACATTGCTGACGTACTCCCAAATGGTTGGAAAGTGTTCTGTTGACTTACAGCCAAACAATCCAACTATGGCCAAACCTCCCGACCAACCGCCGAATGTTTTAACCATGTTTGGTGCAGCCGAATAGTAGCCGACCTCGATCGCCGACTACCAGCCGACTTTCCTCCGACCTACTCCTAACCATGGTTGGAGGAGGCCATGTTCGTGAATGTGTGGCAGGGTAGCCAGCTTTCGGCCGGAGGTTCATTTGGGGAGGGCGGCAACCTTCGGGCGGCGGCCGACAGGAGCGCGGTTTAGTCAGGCTATGTGGCAGGGGTCTTACCTTCTCCAGGAGGTCCAGACAGGCCTGCAGGTCCATGCCGAAGTCCACGAACGTCCACTCGATCTGCTCGGACTTGTACTCCTCCTGCTCCACCACGAACATGTGGTGGTTGAAGAACTGCTGCAGCTTCTCGTTCGTGTAGTTGATGGCCAGCTGCTCAAAACTGTTCAGCTAGACGATAAATTGTAGAACGTTTCTGGTTATCATTTGCACAAGTAAGGTGGTAATGGACTAATCTTATAACACCCATCTTACCTTATCTAAAAGACCATTACACATGAAAAGATGAGAGAGACAGTGTTGACGTCACAATTCAAACCACGTCACAAGCCTCATTGGGTCAGTCTAGTCAGTCTACTGAAGAAGACCAGAGTGACTGGTCGAAAGTTCTAGGTGTGAACAATTCTTTGTGTTGGATCGAAGTTTTAAACTCTAAACATGGGAGACAATATGAAGTTTAATTTATTTTCACCATGGATGATATAGTACATGATTCTTCAATACTTGTGGCTATACGCATGGAATTTCAAATGGAACCAGAGTAAGCTGAACGACTTACCTCAAATATCTCAAACCCAGCGATGTCCAACACGCCTATGAACATGACACGTTCCATCTCCGTCTCCAGTGTCTCGTTACACTTGGCGACGATGAACTTGAAGGTTCTCTCGTACGTGGCCTTGGCCAGGGCGCCCACGGTGTTGTTACACTGCTTGCCGGTCTGTCCTTTCGTCACGAACTCGCTGCCTACCTTCACCCGGGGCCGGGTGATGGCGTTGGACAGACCCGGACCTTCCACACCGAACAGGGCTGCCGCCTTGTCCAGAACTTAGCAACAGTATCAGAACAACGTCAGGTACGATGTACATGTATAAACCTACTAGTCCCTCAAGCAGTGTGCTTTGAAAATTAGCATTGTTCAACGCAGGCATAGGGCGAGCAAGCAAGGAGATAATCAAGAATGGGGTAATGATGCTGTGCTGCATGTGTGATGTGATATTTATGTGCTATGTATGCGTGGCATGGTTTGTTTTGAGGAAACTAGAGTATCTCTGGAGGAGGGAGCACATCCCAATAATTGCCATCATAGTATACGTAAAACTCTTCAATGCCTCGTGTGTAGCAATGCTCTGCTATGGTTGTGGGTCTTGGGTAATTACGAAGGACATGAACAATCAACTCATTTCCTACTTCGTGTTACCGCATTAATTCATACTAAACATCAAAAGGCACAGACGAGGACGCCAGCCTACCGCTTCTTTACAGTACATCCGACATCTCCTGGTTGATTACAATAGCCAACTCTCGGTAAAACAGATCTCTGACCAATTTAGCAACAAGGGAAAGTGGAGGAAACTTTTTGCAGTCGCCTGCGTATGGTGATCATTTATGCGTGTGAACAAAAGCTCCTAAACATAGTCTGCTCACCGTCATAGTTGTCCACCTCTCCCTGGTCTCCCCTCTGTACGAACTCCGTGTTACCGAACCACAGGATCCCGGAGCAGATCCGGTAGATGTTGTCTTTCTCCTCCGGGGAGAACTTCAGAATGTCGAAGCCCTAACAATGTGATGGATAGATCAAAAAGTAACAGAAGGTTTGACCACAACTTGTTTAGATTTGTCTGGCATGTGAATCAATGCTCAAAACTTAATATAAGTCAGAGAAATCCCTAGCTAACTAGAAATGTAACATTGGCAAACACATCCATATACATGTATATGATGACCAGCCCCTCCAGCTCTGTCCTGCTACAGCTCTGTCCTGCTAATGTAACCCAACACCACAGGGTGTCTGCACCAGTTACCATGGTGACAGACGCCTGGTTCAGGTCATTGACCTTTTGTATTTTGTGTTTTGTGTTTGAAGAAGAAATGGACCAAAATCAATATGTTTTCATTCTGCGATGGTAAACATAATTAGCTAATGAGTACCTCGTCTGTCATACGGAACTCCTCTCCGTCGTCCAGATTCTGCACGGTGTACACTCCCTCCCGCAGGAACTTAAACACGGACGGGTCCGTACCCATGTTGTACTTATCTGTAATCAGGGAAAAACATGCCGTATAACTATAAGCGTGATATCATGCAGAAATGCTATAATGGTTTCGACAAAGATACATTTAATTTTCTATACTTTAAGAGTCTCTTAAAGGAAGTCAGCGTTGGGGCCATGCATGTACGTGTCTGGTACATGGTGGTCCACTGTTCCAGACAATGGGTCTACGGTAGCCTACATATGGGTCTTCTGAAGCTCTCTCCAGGTTTTGGGACAACCAGTTGATTGCTTGTGACAGGACTGCATGTGCTTTTGACAGGACTGTTGTGGCTTACCCGTTCACGACAGATGACAAGAATGTTGTAGCTTACCCGTTGTTCCCGGGATGCCATTGGACATCATCTGGAAGGGGATGTGGTAACCACGCTCCATTCCCGGCAACTGCGAGATCACGCGAGACTTCTCCAGCAAATCTGAGGAGTAAACCAGAAATAATATATAGTTAATGGATAATTTTCGTGGCAACTGTAGGAATGCAGCTGAGACTTATATCAATAGCGGACATCACCATGCCAAGGAAGTTGCAAATCAATGATGTAAAATGTTTCTACCGCTACACTTACAGGTCTCGATGTCTCCGCCAGCGAGCTTCCCCCGACGGTCAAAATGGATCCGGATGAACTTACCCTGGAGAAGATACAGCCATAAGGACAGGACGAAATGACATCGATTGCTAACAGTAAGTATAGAGCAAGTGGTTAAATACACCCTGGCATGACAGCAACCCGGTCACCATTTATCTTATCCCGATCCTAATGTGTTGGGAACTAGTTAAATCTTCACCATAATACAGACTACAGAGTCTACTTACAAAACGTGAGGAGTTGTTGTTCCTGACGGTCTTGGCGTTCCCGAAAGCCTCCAGAACAGGGTTAGTCTGGACGATTTGCTCCTCCAGAGTCGCCTGAATAACAAAATACAATGAAATGTTTTATGTGATGCTTTTGGTTCATACATATAGCTAAAGTAGTTTAGACTCCTTCCTTCTACTAACTGTACAAGTTGTACAGTCAATACTGTGTTTTTTTTTTTTTTTTTTTTTTGTAGAGTCAATCAATACTGAGGTACGATACCGCACGGGTGGAGTAGCCCCATGCTGTAGTGATTGCACAACTGTGTGGCCCAAGTACTACAGAAACTGAGATGAGCGCCGCCCTACATGTGTATGTACCACAGGTACGTGAAGAAACTTTCATCATTATTAGCTTTAACTAATAACTAATTTAATTGACCGTACCTGCTTCTTTTCCCCCGGAACGACAGCCCGCGAGGCACCGACGATCGCGAAGTACGCGATAACCTTCTTGGTGTTCTCGGTCTTTCCCGCACCGGATTCACCACTGAGGACAATGATAGAAATACGAGTGAAACGAGGGAGGATAAAGCATCATTATAGCAAGAGTTGTATCCTCCGTATATAATGTAAAGAACAGCATATCTTCTGAAGCGTGCGCTATACGGCACGGTCAAGAATTTACAGAAGATTTCAGTGCACAGGGGATACAAACTCAGCCACGTTTGGGATTGTGTTCTCGCCGCAAAAGCGCCACCTACATCGGCTACATATAGCGGCGAGAAGCGGAACTCCAGTGCAGTCAGAAGCTCGGAGAAAGGTGTCTGACAGACACCGAAACGTAAGCAAGGTTAGTCTATCTTGGTTGTGTAAAAGAAATCTCCCGTATCTAATGTTTGTTCTTTTCCAATGAGTTATGCAAAATCTACTTACGACATAGCTACGCTACGCTACAAAACCCCAAAGATCACTGCCATGCTTGTTATCACTATGTTTTCAAGTTATTGAAGAAAGAAAGAAGCTTGGTCCTTACGTGATGAGGATAGACTGGCACATTTTCTCCATGATCATGTTCTGGTAGGAGTTATCGGCCACGCAGAAGAGATGCGGCGGCACCTCGGTACGCCTCTTCCCGCGGTACATGTCGATCACCTGCTCCGTGTAGATGGGCAGCCGCTTGAACGGGTTGATCACCACGCAGAACAACCCGGAGTACGTCTGGAGAGTGGGTGAAATGGGTAGACGGTCATGTCACGCACCTAGCGAAGCCTTGTCAAAGTGCAAAGCCTCCATTCGTCATGTTATTTAGGACACGAGAAAACGCAGAGTTTCATCATTTCTTGTCAACTGCAGTGCCATCTATTAAGTTGAATCAACGTTATCCCATAGCATACTGATATCTGTAAGGCAAAAATGCGATGTCGCTGACGGAAAACAAGCTTGTTTCGTATGGTACACAGACTGGTTCTAGCTATTTATTGGTGGTACCAAGGAACTCATCACGTAGCTTGTTTCGGGGCCATTTCAAATTCTTCAAGTATGAAATGAAGACGAAAATGTAGTAAGAAATGGTATTACATGTCAATGTCATACAGATTTTCTCATCCAGAATATTATTTTATTGCCGTGATGGAATTGCATTGGATGTCATTAAACGATAAACTGTTAATTAAGAAGTGTAGTTGGCCTTACATAGATGAGCACGAGGTCGTAACGCTGTCTCAGGTTGCCCAGAACTGACGCCTCGTTCAGAAACGTCATGTTGGCCATGTCCTCGGCACAGGAGAACTTTGGCGGGTTCATTTGCTGAATCTTCTCCTTCTTCACAGCCAAGGTCTGAAAAAAAACGGAGAGAAAATTTAACCTGGGCATCCACATCCAGAAACACATCGCAAAAGATAAATTTTAAGATCACACAAAGAATTACTGAGCTTGTGTTTTCATCAAACAACAATGAATGTAATTTGGGCAAATCGTGCTCGGGCACGGTTTGAAAGGAGCGTGTGGCGGTTTCGTGTGAACAAGGCCAAAAGTTACTATGCCCGTAACTTTTGATATATCCATCTGTTTGGCCAGATACCTGTCCATCCGCAGTCGTGACGGTGACCTGGTCTCCCTTCGTGCTCTTGACTTCCGCCGCCACGAAGATCTCCTTCTTGTCGGGGACCCAGACGTTCTTCTTGGCGTCGTACGGCTGGTTCTTCAGCTTCATCATGTCCTTCGGGTCGCCGTACAGGAACTTGTCCGACGGCTGGTCCTCGAGGGAGGGACCGTAGGCAGGCATGGTGGCTGGACGGCGTGGGGCTCACGTCTTACCGAAGAGAGGGAGAGGCGGTAGCCTGGAGACGAACAGCGGCCACTGTGGAAACAAACGGTAGGCTCTTTTTGCTTGCGTTGTCGAAAATGCAAGGACAAAATCTTCCTATTTTGCTTATCACTGTAGGCTATTTTCTTGCATTGTCAAAAATGCGAGGACATAATCTCCCTTTTCCCTGATCACGGTAGATATTTTCCCATGTACAGGCAGCAAACCTATGTATATATCCTATGTATTAACTACTAGTATATGGCAATTGCAAGAACAGTGAGCACTGATAACAAACTATGAGATCCAACCACACTCACATTAGATCTAGGAAAGTAAATGGTAGGCTCATGGAATATCGAAAATGCGAAAACGTAACCACCCTAGTTCACTGATCACGGTGGATGTTTTTACATGTACATGCAAGCAAGCTTATGCATATACCAAGCGGTATATTGGTAATTACAAGAACAAAGGTCCAACAACACTCACCTCAGATCCGGTGGAAGCTGTGAGGTTAGACTCTGTCGCTGCCTCCCTTTTATTCCGTAAGAACGCTCAAAATAGTTCAATGGGAGTGGGGCTGTCCCTGATCGAGTTACGAACATACCGTCTGGTTGGGCAGAAAAGTTAGAACATGACCAGGTATCTCTTATCAGGGACTGTTCGTTTTACTGTGGAGGGGGTTGAAAAAAATTAATGATTCCATACTTTTTAGCTTTTACATTGGTCAAGTTTGAAGTCCATTTATGAATTCCAAATAGTAGGACAACTTAAATACAATCTCTGGCCCTCTTTCCTCGATCTAAAAAGGAAGCTACCTTTGATACAAGCAAAGAAAAGAAAATTTGGAGCATATAGTACAACGTTTTCGCTTGCTAACATATCGGAACGTCATTTTCTTTCCTCATATTCTGACGAAAATAGGTTGATTTGTATGCATTAACTTTCATTTGACCACTCATGAAGTTTGTCTATGGATTCATCCCTGCATCTTCACAGGAAAATGTAACGAATTATCCCTGTGTATTTCAAGTCGATTGGCGTCACACTTGGCAGTTTCAGTTCTGAAACGTAACCTAAACCAAAGCGGCTTTTAGACTGACATTTGGATAATAGCTTTACACACAACACCCGTGTGTTATTAACTTTCGTGTATCGTTACTCTGGCGCATTCCAGTGTTGGTATATGGTCTTTCCTGATTTTCAAAATAGTTCGCACGTTACACGCCCGTAGACTTCAGTCGCACATGTCCGAATTCATATCCATATGGGGTGGAAGATGGCTTTTCCATTTCTATTATTGATATTAGAAATGGGGTCATATTTCAAGATATGCTACTATTGAATCACAGGGTGTAAATGTGTAGGGCGTAAAACAGAGTATCATTTCAAGATATGCTTCTGTCAAATCGTGTAGAGGATAACGTTGGAGGACAGTATAGCTTTGTGAAGGGGAGAGAGAAAAACTTACTTACAAAAACTCGGTATGACGTTCACTATGAATTGGCTATAGAAGACCCTGCTATGGATCGAGAATCAGGTGATGTGGATGAAAGAGCCAAGAATATCAAAGCAGCTAGCTCATCCGAAGATGAGATAGTTTTGTGTACTGGAGCGTCGTGAAACAAGGATAAAAGATGAGCACAATTGTGTACAGGTTGCAACTCTGCAAAGCTTTTAATCATAGTTATAGTTCTAGACAGCTACCTTTCATCATGTAGACTTTAGTTATTTTATACTCTGTTCCAATGTTCTTTTATGTTTGTAATTTGCAATTAGCCTCCGGGCATGAACTTCTTTAATCTAACGGAATGTTAACGTTTCTTCTAAACGCAAAATCCGTGCTTCTGTTTCATGATAGCTAGCAAGGCACACGATTTTACTTTTCTAAGGTTTTCTAAGCTTTCGTTCGTGGCGTCCACTGATGGTAATAAATCATGGTTCAACTATGTATAGTTATGTGCGGTATGTTTGACACTGATTGTTCACATATCTGCTCGTTACAGCCGTTATATCAACTATGCCTGGCATGGCACTTCTGTCTGGGGCTCCGAGTGAAACGATACTGCCTGCAAACCCGATACTTTAGCACGTTGTATGTTAGACATTGTTTGAATGTGTTATCGGTGCTCTTACACAAATGTTGAATTAGTGGTAAAACCATGAATGTACGTAAAGCCTAACTATCTATTTGACATTGATACCATTTTATTGCTGTATTCTTTTTCCCTGTTCATTCATGACCTGTACTTACCATAAACGTACAGAAAGGTCTTTCATTCATTTAATACGTATCGGACGGCCGCTTTTAGGGAAAATCGATATACATACATGTGTACTGCTCAAATATTACAGTGACAACCTCTTGAAAACTAGATATCAAAATGGAACATGGCACTTTCTAACGTGGGGAAAGAAAGAAAGTGGAGAAGGAGAGAAGATGATCCTTCATGGGACATCGTCTGAAGCTCTCACTCAGTGAGGTGTAACAATATAATAAAAGATCTGTCGTAAGGATATCATATTCATATCATGACAACTTGTCTATACTAGTACCTTAACTCTGCCCAGCTGTTGATCTGGGCCTCTGTTATCAATTTCCTAAGTCCCGAAAAGAGGCATGTTCGAATCATTTAGGGACAAACACTACTGTAGGTTGGTGTGTGGATACAGAGGTCGGGCTATTGTTATCGCCAGGACATTGGACTTTGTCATGACGTAATGTTGTTCAAGCGCTTCACCGAAACATGGTCACCTGTCAGGGTTCCAAATACTTTTTTAAACCCAAGTTCTCCACATGTTGCCCCAGTTCCAATGCCTCATTTCGCCATGGGGTTGTATCTAAACAAAACCACGGTACAAGTAGAAGTACAGAGGTTCATGTACATATCCAGATCTACGCTGTCTGAGTCTGTTAATAAAACTGTTGTACCAAACATAACATGGTTGCGTAGCGCAACTAGGCAACCATGTATTCAGAACCCTGCAGGCCGTTCAAGTGTTATACAGAAGTTAAAGTCATTATTTACTGATGATTGATATATACACCTCATGCAATGCGCCTTTAGTGTTACAAACGTATCATAACGTTACAACACAGGAGTTTAACATTTGACGAGCAAGTTTCGATAGCCTGGTTAAGAAACCTATTATAGCTCCCGAGTCCTACAACCTATTTGCTGAGAGGCTGTAGGACTCGGGGGCTATAATAGGTTTGGTAACCAGGCTAAGTTTCGGTCTTGTGCAATCGTCACTTCGAACTTTACACTGGACATTGTGTTCCATGATCACGTTGTGCTCACAACAAAGTTTCGTTGAAACT